TGCATTATTTAGCTACATGAACGCTTATGCAGCCTACCAAAATACGCTTGTGCACATAACGCCTTTGTTTTTTTTTTATTTTTTTATGTAGAGGTGTACGACCTTCACAATTAAGCCACAGTGACTTTTGAGTTTTGTTGGGGGAAAAATAAGAAATAAGAAATAAATGATCAAAAATGACATGAGATGTGACAGAAACAAATTGCAATCCATAAGTAAATACATATGTATGTACATATGTGGTCCTATTTTTTTGCTTATTAATGGTTTGTTTTTTAATATGGAAGTCCACTACTTAATCTTTGTATTGTTAAGAAAAAAAAAATTGTAATTGGTAGCATACACCTTTAGTACCATTTCACACGATCCGGGTAGGATTGCCTGAACGTTTTATTGATGTACAGTTTTATGCTACCTCACAACGGTGGATGGTTTTTTGTAAGCATTTTGCACGAATACACTCGAATGTTTTCCAGTGCTTGCTCAGATCAGGCATGAAATTTCTATTCTATCATGTGGTACTTAGTATACTGATTTCAAAAGAAAGACGTAGCTTTGATATCAAGAGAAGCCAATCTACCGAAATGTTTGCAAACTGAGTTCGGTTGAGAAATTCTGGGCTCTCGCCAAAAGAGACATGAAGGCTACCAAAAAGGTGGGAAAACGCTAAAAAGGCTAATGAATGCGTTTCCAAAACAGCAACACTTTTTTATTGAAAAATAGTAGTTCTTGTTATTTCACAATTTTCTTGTTAATTCTAAGATTATAATGGTATAGTTTTTGAAAATCTTACAACTGCTTTAAATAATTACATAATCTTTTAGCGCATAATTTCATTCGACGCAGCCGATTCTCGACTTGTGGCAAGGAAGAAGATTAGCGAATATATTTCAAACTTTTTATTCAACAAGATGCTGCTGTTTTTTTACTGCCGTATTGGTTTATCATTAGTTCAGTGACAAAATTATAGGATAAATATGGTAAAAAGATTTCCAAACAACACCACTCTGTAACGGTGAAAATGGACAAATCTGTACAAATGTACACATCGTGTGATCCCTGCTTTAGAATTGATCGCGAATAGAGAAAGGGGAAATAAAGACACCGTAAATGTTTTGCTGTTTTTTACCTCAAGGTTTTTTTTTCACATTCTAACCGCATAGCAAACGTAATATATTGAAGAATTATGTATGTATATGGGGTGTTCCATACCAAAAACCGGACGGGGTTCACTCTTCATGTGTTGGATTTATTTCAAATTTTTAGTGTTGATGCATAAAATATTAAATTTGAGCTTGATTAATACGTTTTACTTTACTTTACAGCACAAAAACAAAAAGAAATCGATTTAATAGTTTTCCAAATATCTCGAGAACGGGGTGAGGAAAAAATTTAAAAAAGAAATCACACATACACACATCAAAATTCTATATAAAAAAATATATATTAAAAATTTTTATTTTGGAAAATTTTTCACATACACATTTTTTGATAAAAAAAAAAAAAGTTTTTGAAAATATGCCAACTCAAAAAAAAATAAAAAAAAATTCACAATGATAGCTCTGAGTATTGCGCAATATTTAAGTATAGCATCATGGGGTGTACTCTACAATAATTTGAATTATGATTTTTTTTTTACACCGAAGTTGGGTAAAATTTAAAAATTCTTTTATTTAGAATTTTTTTGAGTATGCAGTTTCGTAGCCCATTAAATTTTAGTATAATAAAGTATTTCAATAATTAAACAAACCCGTTAAATATGTAGATAAAATCGCTAAACAAATGAAAGTAAATGGGTGTTTAACAAAACTTGTTTTTTTCCTAGAAACTTAATTGTTTCGCACATCAAATGAGTATAAACAAATTTGCGCATTTTATCTCTTTTCAAGCAGCCATTTCATGTGGCTACCCTGTCAACTACGTTGAAATATTTCATTTGCTTTATAATAAATTTAAATTGTCGCAATTTGTGTAACTTAAATTTAATCTTCCTTCAACTCGCACCTATGTACGTATGTACAACCCACAACTTTCTGCCATGGCTCATAAAAAGCAAGCAACATCACCCGCGGCGCCAATAACTTCGTACCGCTCCGCTTCAATAGCGCTGCAAGATGCAGCAACTGTGCTGTTAAAAAATTTATTTACTGTTTGCATTACCTACACAAATAGCCGTTACTACTAGTCTGTCTGAGCGCTTCATGAAAAATATATGAATGCAAAAGTACACAATTTTATTGCAAGATTCACATGGCTTTATTATTATTTCAGTGCAAAACTTGCAGCTGTGCAAAAAAAAATAAAAAAAAAATAAAACATCAAATAAAATAAAACAAACCGGCAAAGGAAAAACGAAAAAATGCAGTTGGCAGTTTCTAGTCCAGATACATGCATAAACTTGCCTATATAGCAAGAGTATATGTATGTGAGTTTATAGCATACACACATATGTACATACATATGCGCATAATAAAAGTGGTAGAATACTTTTGATTTTATATACTTAGTATACATTTTGTTAAAATAAAAAAAAAATCTACAGAACCGGAATCTAGCTTACCTTGAAGAAGATGCCGAGGTAGTAACGCTTCTCGCCCAGTTTCAGCAGCGGCATTGTCCATTTGTTCGTGTATTGAGACTCGTCCACACAGTTCGGACAATCTACGTCAGCGCATCAACAGCAGAAATTCGCCAAATCCAAGTCACACAAATACATTTGCAAATTTATAGCGGCGCGTGTTTTAATCGGCGAGCCAGTGACCAAACCACACCACACAAAGGCAATGCAAATAAAGCAGAGAGAAAAGAAGAGTAATTAATTACAATGGTTTTTAAGCAGAACTGTGGTCAGCTGGTTATATAATAAAATAAATTGAATGAAACCAAAAACAAAAAGAATGAAGCACTTCGAAAAAGGGTGTTAAAATTAATTGCAATGACGGCTTAGCGGCCGTCTACAATTCTCCATACAAATTAACTGAAATGATTTTGCGGAGGTTCCCTACATACAAATTTGGTTTCCCAGCTCTTATTTAAAGACCATCACGATAACCCACTAATTGCAGGTGAAGAGGGCGCATGAGATTTATTTGCGCATATATTTAAAAGCTTTTCAATATTTATTGTTATTTTTGTAGTTCCCAAAATAACCTGTATTCTTTGAATTTTTAATATTGAAACCACAAACGGATACGATTTTAATCAATTTGCAATTGTTCTTTTCAACTCCTTTCTCTTAGAAGATAGTATGTCTGTATATACATTTGTATATGTACGTATTTTAAACCAATAACCAGTATTGATTTGAAGTTGATGACTCAGAAAATTAATATGCAGCATTTTTTTTAACATTTCTTACAATTAAAGAGAAATTTCTTCACTTGATATCCATCGCCACATTCAGCATTACTATTACATACATACATACATACATACATTCTATAAAATGCGGTATTCCGATACAAAAAGGATGGTTTAAAGTTTCGTCTTGCCATGTTTTTTGGCTTCAACTATTATTAACTTATTCATCTTTGCAATCTTTAGTGGAACTGCTATACAGTTTTCTACAGTTAGGTTAACCTGGGAGATCAACGTCATATAACTTACACCAAAAATGGTTCCCAGTGCTTTGCAATTAAATGATCCTTAATTATCTGATACGCGATAGCCTTCAAAGACGGTAGGAACTCAGAATCAAACCCACTTAGTCGCTCTCTGCAAATGACTGTAAAGTAAGGAAGGGAAACGCTTGGTAACACAATCAATGTTTTTCTCTTTTGCCGGTATTCTTGGGCATAGGAATATTAGCGGACAACACAAACAGTAGTTTACCAGCGCTTTGTGATAAAAAGCAAAGACTTTGTAAAATATGTAGACTTTACAAAAGCAGAAAAACACAAACAGTGGATCTGCAAAGTATTCAGGTTATAGAACAGAGTACAGCTGCTGCTTGGATGGCATATTTCATTTCCCGTACGAATGTGCAGGCCTAACTTCTTTAAGACATAAAATTTTCGGAAGTTACATACAGTATCGTATATTGTGTGCCACTTATGTTCATTTATTTATTTTTAAGAATTTTCAATTAAAATATAGTTCATTCTCAGACAAACTCGATACAAACCCAAGCTTAATAATTTGTAGAAAGCTGCAAAAAAGTGCAACAAATTTTCACATAAATTTCAAACTTTTTTCTCGGAAGTGTTAGAATTTTTTGAGTACACAGTTTTTTAGCTCCTTCAATTTTAGTCTGATAATGTGCAAATTTGAAGTGGCTACGAATTACCGTTTATTTTTTAGAATTTTTTTTGTCGCATTGGCTTCCATATAATGAATAAACTCAATTTATTTGTATATGGACGAAATCCGCAACTCCTTTGGCGAAAAAAATTCTAAAAAATCAACGGCAACTTTTAGCCACTTGAAACTTGAACATTACACTGGTCTACAAATTTCAACTTTTTTTCTGCGAATAAGACGGGACCTGGTGTTTCTGAACGGATTTTTCGTGCTGAACACGAATCCGGGGTCAAAAATGTCCCATCACGTCACACAAATACACCCCCTGATCTAAGGGTGCATGCGATTAATTCGGCATAGGGCTCATTCGAAAGGGCACGATTTAGCCTTTAATTTCTGACATATACAAAGTTTGTAGCACGTCAGGGTTCAGCTCTACAATTTTTCGAAAATGTCCAAAAACGCTGTTTTTAGGGGTTTCAACCCCTTTTTTCTCGAAAACGTGACGTGATGGGAAGTTTTGGACCCCAGATTCGTGTTCAGCACGAAAAATCCGTTCGGAAACACCAGGTCCCGTCTTATTCGCAAAACCCTTGTAGACCAGTGTTATCAGACTAAAATTAAGGGGCTAAAAACTGTGTACTCAAAAAAATTCTTACACTTCCGAGAAAAAAGTTTGAAATTTAGGTGAAAATTTGTTGCTCTTTTTTGTAGTTTTCTACATATTGTTACACTTGGGTTTATATGGGGTTTGTCTGAGAATGAACTATATTTTAATTGAAAATTCTTAAAAATAAATAAATAAACATAAGTGGCACACAATATCACTATGAAATGGCGTGCTATATTATGACTGATACTGTACATACTAGGAGTGCCAGTTGCTGTCGAAACTCTACCGTTTTTCTAATTTTTTAAAGTCTTGGAAATTTTTTCAAACACAGAATGTCGACTAAATTATAAGGCACAAAATTACTCAAAAGAAAATCTCCTGCATTGGAACTAAAACGTGACTAAAAGGCTGTAGTATATCTTTTTTTTAAATATATTTATTTGTACCGCTAATTTAACGGAGTACTAATTTCTCTATAAACGATGTTTTTTATAAAAACCGTTTTTTTATAAAAACCAATAACCTCGGTTTGAAGTATCTGAAATTTAGAACCGCAATCTGTAAAATGAACAAAGTCTACTGGCAGTGGCATACAATTTGTCCTGAGCAAATACAATTTTCAATAAGGATGACACGGGAACCATCGGACACTATGTATCTCGATAACTCGACCAATTTTAAAAAATCTTAAGAACTTTAATGAATTTCTAAAAATCACTCAATGCAGATAACTCGATAAAGTTTGACAGCTCCATTGATTTAGATAACTGTGCGTTCCCAGAATTGGAAAAATTTCGATAACTGAAAAATTTACATATATGTATATCGATAACTCGATTTTGACAGCTCCACAAATTTCTATTTATCTAAAAATTTCGATAACTCGAAACACTCTCATGTACTTCTAGAAGTTTGAATAACCCGTTATATTTTGAAAAAAACCATAAACTTCGATTCCATAAACTGACAAATTTCTATAACCAGAAATAAATTTCGATGAAACAATAAATATCGATAACTCGATCATTTGAAAAAATTCGATACATCACGACTACTCGATAAATTTTTTTGACTCAATAAACTTCGATAAGCTAACAAAATTTTGATCACTCGATATATGTACATATATTGATTATTCAATGAATATATAAAATGAAATTTCATCAACTTGATAAATTTCGATAATCCGATAAATTTGTATAACTCGATAAGTATCAGTATATTTAAACAACGCGTCTCGATTAATTTCGATAACACCATTAAAATTGATCAAATTCATTAACTCGATGAATTCCGATAACTTAATAGATATGGATGATACGATAAATTTCGATAATACTAAAGCAAAGAAATATTCGATTCTATCCAAAGTATCACTAATAAATACTCTATTCTATGGAACTGACAATGCAACAGCGTAAAATGGACTTCCGCCAAGCTCATTAGCGTGATAATTTATTTTGGAGTTGGAGAAGAGGCTTATTGATTTGGAAGCTCATCACCCAAAGCTAACTCATGAATCTACGAACGGCTCAGTGTTTTCATCTGATTTAAGAGCTCTAACAGTTTTTGCATATTCTGAATGAAATGACGAAATATACCTGGTTGGCGATTGCCATTCCATTATAGTAGTCTGGACCAATGCATTTTCGAAGCACTATGTTAATTGCTCGACACGTTAGTAGTAGAACTCGATATCAACCTTTTAAGATGTTATGGATTTCAGCGCTCACACCCAGGTATAAAGTTATAGCTGAATAAAGTGCTTAAAGCCTGAAAAGCGGTGGACGCCTCAACAGCATTTTATGGAGTTCTACACTAAGAAAAATGTAACATGGTTTTTTCAACCAGCGTAATTTTTGGTTTTTTTATGTTGCCGTTTCGAAATATTTCAACAGAAAAAGTATTTTTAAAGAATATAAGTTTGTTGTCTAGAAATTGTTATCAAAAATTAGTTCAGCCCAATAATAAAATTTTAAACAACGCCACTCTGTAGCTTGTGAAAAGCTTGTTCGACCGATCACAGAATGGTGTTGTCTAGGAATTTTTTATAGAGAATGAGTTCAGGTTGAAATCTAATTGGGCGGAATATATGATTATAAATTTTTATTTTCGGTTTTTCTTAATTATGAAAAAGCATCTGTGAAGTGCACATCGAAATCTCGTTTTCAAGCGAAAAAATCTCCAAAAATAAATCTGTTCAAAGTAAACAAAAGCTTGTTTGGCGCAAAGTCATATATGTTTTTTTAACCAAGGCGATATGGTTTATTTTGTTTCTCAGTGTACTCTAAGTGCGATCGCGAAGTTAATGAAGCTTTACCGCAGGCACTTTTTAAACTGGCTGCCCATATCTGCTTTCAGCACGACCACAACCCTCGCCATTCGCCAAGCTTTAGATAAATTGTTCAGAGTCTAAACAGAGGTTCCTTTTTTAAAAGAACGCAGGAAAAATGCCATCAGAGCATGAAGCGTTCGAACGTTTCGACGATTTTGAAGTCTTAGTTGTCCTATTACCAGCTCAGACTCAGTTACCTAAAATGTTGCTACAGCCAGGAAAGTTCATTTTTATCAGTTCCTCAAGCATTTCATTGCGCTTTCTTTAATCCACTCACTGGTATATTTTTTTTTTACCAGTCAAGAAATCGTCGGGAATTATCTAGAATATTTTTAAGGAGTAATTTCGCTTGAGTCACAAGGTGGGATCTAACGCCAAATATAATTAGGGATTTTAACATCACACCTAAGGGTCTGATTATGCATACTTCACATAACTTCGCACAACCATTTGTACCAGAGCACTAAAAGTGTA